AATTCTTTCAGGAGCGCAATCTTTTGGTTGAGAAGTTGAGCGATAAACGCATCTTGGTCTTTGATGTGCTTCATCATCGTTTCCATCATTTTGGACATGTTCATGACTTGCTCTTCCAAACTTGCAATATTTGTCATCATAGTAGGCATTGCAGAGAAAGCAGAAGATGTTGCAGAATCTTCAACAAGGAGTTTTGATTGAACAATTTCATGAGAAGATGGCGATCCAGTACTTGATAGGTCATCTTTATGCTTAGAAAGTTTGGATCCGGATCCAAACTCAAGCATGGCAAGGGTCTTCTCAATTGAGACAGGAACATCCATGGACCCCAGTGCAGGAGAAGATAGATCATTGGTGATATTGAACTAAAGATTGGGCTTAATTTGGATGGAACCTCCATACTATTTTGGGGGAAAGCTATTGTCATACTCCTTGTCACAGGTCTAACAACACGAGTAATTGCAACAGTGTGTACAACCTCATTAGTAGATTTGGCATCAACAGCCTTAGAACGAACAGCCATGGATTTGTTATTCTTTGGAGGTATTGATTGATATAAGCAATTGAATATGCAGAGAGAAGAGATGAAAAGCAGAGATGGTCCCATTAGGCGTGCTAGAAATTTGTTCGCGATAAAATTCAAGTCTACAAGAAAATTACAAGACAAGAAAAATGTACAACAAATATGAAATATATAAATTTTTAGAAAATATGTGGGTTACAATTTTTGAAAATTTCTCTAATTTGTAGAGAGTTTCCTTCGATTCTTCCTGTTAAACATTAATCCAAAGGCTAAGTAGCTTGTTCTTGGATCGACCATCGATTCCTTCAAATCTTGATATAGAAGATTTGAAAAACTTGATGAGTTTGAGTATTTGAAGATTCAAGTCTTGTTATGAGGAAGACTTAAAGAACTTGAAGATGTAGAGCCTTCACAGTCTAGGAGTTTTAAGAATATATGAGAGTATGAGATATATGGTGTGTGAGCTTTGGTGGAGAGAACCCCTATTTATAGTTGTAGAATAGGGTAGACGTGTATGCCATTTTACTTATCTTGTAAGACATGCAGTCATATAAGAACTGTTCCACTTTAAATATCACCTCTTCATTTTATATTTATTAATAAAGAGATAATATTAATCAATATTTTCCTGATTGTCGAAACTTGTAAGGATATATGACATGGCACAATTTAATTGGACGAACCATTGCAGCATATAAAACATATACATGGATTAAACAACTCGAAATATTATTTCTTTAGTTAAGAGATAATTATTTAGATATTTATCCATAATTTGTCAAGTCACATAGACATGTGACATGGCATCATTTGATTAACAGAGACATCTCAACAATTTTAATTGGTCGGGACACCTCAACTTGACATGTGGAGAGACATGATTGACTACCGAATAGCCAAATTTCTAAGTGTGCATGACATGTGACAATATCTGATTGGATAAAAATAAGCCACAGAAATAATTTATAGGCCAATGATAATTTTTAGAGTTAATTAAAATTCCATTGTGTACAATATGCTCTGATGGATAATTCTATTTTAGGTTTTGATTTGGTTGGCAAACTATTTTAGGGCTTTACTTCTGGTTTAGAAAGTATGTGAAGGAATCGCATCACGTAGAGGTAAGCTCCTATTTCTTGAAATATAAGCAGATTTGGCCAACTAACTTTTGTTGTGATTGATTCTTATATTTTCATAAATAAAAAAAAAAAGAAACATTGGGGTTCTATGTGACCAGACCTTTATAAGCATGATTTTACCTTTCCCTTTTCTTTTTAGCTATATTTTTCCAATAGCTGCTTCATTTAGGTTAAGTTTAGTTCTACCGTTTGTTTTGTATATTTGTAGGTCATGGTGTGGGACTATCACTTGTTTATTTCCTGCTTGATTTAAAGCATTTTGATATTTTCCTAAAGTTTAACATTTTTAATGCAATGATTTTCTGCAATACAATTTCTTCTGCATCTACCTAGAATAATGGTGGAAATGGCTCATCTGACACTAGATTGAACTGGTTGATGCACGAGTTGTTGTGGAGAGATTTCTTTAGGTAACTAAACCAATCTCCAAGCTTTGTATGCATTATCTGAAGTTTTCTAGGGTGATATATTGGTAAACTTGTATAGTTACTTGCTTCACTTTGAGTGTGCATCTGTAGATTGTGCAATGTCTATTGCCCTCTGCCCGATTTCTCATCAAAAAATACACAATTCTGCAAATAGCACAATGCTACTCCAGCGACAGCTTGTACAGGTGCTGTTGATTGAAGCTAAACCATGTTGACAATTCATTAGAAACATATATATAACCATAGGAAGGTTATTTTTGTGGCTATATGATTTTTTCGGCTACATCACTGCTGATTCTACAAGAATTTCTCACTACAACAAAAAAAACCTTTCCCGACATACCTATAAGGACACTTGCTTATATATGTCCTTATAACACTTCTATCATGACACATCAGCCCAACAATCCATTCTCCAACTATTTTTATTTTATTTAAAAATACTATGTCCCTTTAGAATACCTATTATGGCAGTTGACTCTATGTGAGATATCTCAAAGGATTTGAAAAAAGAAAAAATAATAAAAAATGATGTCGTTCCTTTTTTTGGCACAATTTTTAGGCATCTAAAACTTTTTCCCTTCTCAAAATTATGGAACATCCGTCTCCATTATATTATCGATCAGAACTCCTCCTTCTCACCAAAACCTCTCTCTCTCATTAGAACCTTGCACCTCTCTCATCAAAACCCCTCTTCTCTAACTCTTTACATCTCTCAATCGAGCCTTTCTTTTGAGTTTTTTTTCTGTTGAAGTGCATTGCAGCTGCCATTGCTCTCTTTGTTTGTTCATTGAAGGTATGTAATTGCTTATTAGACTATGTGATTGTTCATTCATTGAATACACCTACTAGTCTTTGATTTTTTCTTTTTTGTGTGATTATATAAGATATTTTAGCCATCTTTGAAACCATTTATGAATTGTATCAACAATGGTTCCTGTTTTTGGACTTTAAATTGCTCTATTATGTTGAATTAAGATGATTAAGCTTCAAAATTGGCCATAAATTAAGAATATGTATAGTTAATCTATTTAACCCTTCGATAGTTGAGTTCCACTTATTCATTTTTAGGTATGCAGTACCTATCAATTACCAAACTCTATTTTGTTTCTTCCCCACCTGGAGCTCAAACTCCCTGCCAAAACAAAAACCAACACAGAGGTTGGTTCCTTACCCATTCAAATAGGAGGGCCTCTGATGCCTGTAAAGCATAGTCCAGTGAATGGTAGTTGTTTGTTGAGGGTAAACATGCCGGGTGTTGGCCAAGATGGTCTGGAGGTCCATCTTGAGAAAAATACTGTATTCTTTGAAGGGTAAAGGAGAAGCAGAACACAAATCTATAGATGTCTTGACTTGCAAGTGAATTTAAGCTGTCTTTTAGTTAAAATTACCAAATGATGCATTAGAAAAAAGTAGTACCTAGGGGTGAGCAGATTCGGTTCGTACCGAATTCATAACCGATTTCAAATTCAATTCGGTAATTTGAAATCGGGTATTTGGTAATTCGGTACCAATTCGGTACATACCGAATTCACCGAATTCTAATATGGTATAAAATAGGTAATGAGATTATGAATTTGGTAATAACCGATTTCGAATTCAAAATTCGGTAATTGAAATCGGGTACCGCATTACCGCATTCGAATACCAAATTGATATATAAAATTATATAATATATAGACAAATGCTATTTAGTATTAGTATATACTACTAATACTTTATTATATTATATAGGTAAATGCTATTAATAATAATTAGTATATGGTATTATCATCATATCATGTACTTATAATACTAATAATATATAATAATGTACAATATATTTATATTATTTTAGTATTTATTAATTGTTATATGACTACAATAATGCATAGTAATACATTACAATATAAGATAACTATAATAGTTATTATTTTATACATGAGTAACATACTAACATGACTAGAATTAGATAATAATTAATACATATATGTATAATACTAAATATTAAACAATAAACATAATTAGTAATTAGAATTTAGATATTGGTAATTTGATACATCATTCATGTTTGAATTATTGAATATTTGAATGCGTAATCTATAACTTGCAAGTATTAGTGTACTCTAAATTTACATTATATATTCACTAATCTTAAGGTTTTAAGTATAGATAAGACAACTAAGCAGTGTAAGTGAATGTATATGAATTGCAAATCAATGTATTAGTGTATTGACTTTCACAATAACATATGTAAGTAAATAAGTTTAATTTTGATTTGAAATAAATTATAAGTTTGTAACTAACATAACTTATCACTAATCATTGTAATTTGTAAGTTTGTAACTAATATTACTTATTATTAATCATTGTAAATTATAAATTCATAAATTATCACTAATCATTGTACAGTCTAAGGTTTATTCTAGTTTAAATTAATCACTTTTTATGTGTTCCTTAAATCATAGACTAAGGATTGTAGGTATAAGTGATCAAATAAGTTAAAATTCATATTATCTATTTACTAATCTTAAGGCTTTAAGTATAGACAAAATAACTAAGCTGTGTAAGTGAATGCATGTGAGTTGCAAATCAAGTAAATAAGTTTTATTTTGATTTGAAATAAATTATAAGTTTGTAACTAATGTAACTTATCACTAATCATTGATTCATTGTAATTTATAAGTTTGTAACTAATATTACTTATTATTAATCATTGTAAATTATAAATTCATTGTAACTACTAACTAAATTAGTTTAAATTAATCACTTTTTATGTGTTTCTTAAATCATAGACCAAGGATTTTAGGTATAAGTGATCAAATAAATGCCAATTAAACCACAAAATGATTTGAACATAAGTAATGTGTTCAATTATGAATAAATTTGGGGATCAAATCAGTAATAATTTTTAAATCATTGAGGAGCATAATGAATGTATTATAATTTAGGAGCCCCAATTTATAAATTAAAAATTACAAAATCACTTCATTTGGGAAGAGTCGGATTTCATCTTCAGCTGATGACAAGTGAGAAAACAACCATTGCAAATTTGCAATATTGCATGGTGCCGTGACTGCCGTCACCTAGGGCTTTCACAGCACTAACACTCCCAAGTCCCAATTCCCAAATCGAAGCTGCTCTCCGCCTCTCCGGCCTCCGCCAGTCCGCCGCGCTCTACGCCTCCTGTCGGCTGTGTCCTGCCGTGCTGGTTCATCGCTGCCGAGTGTCGAAGACGAAGCACCAAGATCTCACTGGTTCATCGCTGGTTCATCACTGCTCATCTCTGGCTCGCTTAGGTAAGTGCTCCTCTGTTTTTGGCTCTGTGTATCTGGCATTAAAATGGGCCAAGATCGACTAGGAAATTTGTTATCCTGAATTGATAAGGGGACGAAATCTGAGCTTCGAATTGCAAACTCTAACTGTTGTAGTAGTTTAGATTAGGTGTGATATAACATAAGCTTTGTATTTTATACACAAGAAAGCTCTCTCCAGTTGTGCAGCCTTTAAAAGTTAAGGCCTTGGGGAAAAATTCCACCTTTTACCCGTTAGAAAAATTAAAAAGGAAAAAACTTGCTAAAATGAAAATTTTACCTCCTTGTCCGTGGAGATTCTCAATCTCTGGTGCACATCTAGTGAAAGTACGGCTCCAGAAGTTGTACCTAGGATTCTGGATATGAATTTTCTGCAATGTGTAAAAGAAGAAACATCTATGTATAAATAAGCAGAAAGGTCACCTTAATAAGCTCAATAAAAGTAATCAGCTCCTGAATAAGTAATGGAAAGCATTGGAGCAAGTCTAGAACATATCGAAGAGAGCAATTTAGCTTTTATAACTACAAACCAGTAGAAGGCCTACATATGTCTAGCTTCTTTACATATTTTCAGTCTAATATTTGTAGCTTTCTCATGGCTTGCGGGGGTTGGTAGTTGCTGAACTATAAAGATTGGTTTTATATATTCTCTTAATTTGCTTCAGGGTTTTTTTTTACATAATAGATGAATTCGGTTGGACCGAATTCATTACCGTTTTCGAATTTGAAATCGGGTACCGCATGAATTCGGTAATGCCCAATTTGAAATTGAAAACGGTTTAGATTTCTATAGGTGCAATAACCGAAAAAACCGAATTCAGCGCACCGATTTACCGCATTTGCACCGAATGCTCACCCCTAGTAGTACCCTAAGTGTGGTTTAGAATGGTACAAATTTTATAGTTTTTCGACAAGTGTATAGCAAGTAACATCAATTCCACAAGGCACTAGCAAGAGCTAAAGTAATCAACGTCAGCTATGCATGCCTTTATTATTTTGATCATAAATTGGTGTAGAAATGTCCAAATTGGATGTCATTAGTTGCACATGAAAGCTAAGGATGGCAATAGGGACAGGTGGCCGTAGGCACCCGCCCCGCGAGGGGCTAATGAGGCAGGAGGTGGGGCGGCGGCAGGGGAAATTATTTCCCCCCGCTTAGAAGAAGGGCGAGGGACGGCGGAGTGTACCCCCGCCACACCACCCGCTTTAAAAAAATAAATATATAAAATATATATATGTATATAATTATATATATAATATATAATTTAATTAGTTACAAACTTATGATAATGATATTATTAGTTCTATGTATTATATAATGTATATTAGTATATGTAATATAATTGATATTATCAATTATGCTAATAATTATATATATGTACTAATAAAAATTATTAATTTATTATACGAAATTTACTAATACATTTATACTAAATCATCAATTACACTTAATACAACAACATTTTTTTCTCAAAATAAAAAGCACAAGCACAATAATAAATTAGTGATTGTATTTGTGCCAAAAGTGAAAACTTGACTACTTTAGTTGTATTTGTTTCATCATGTTGGATTGTATACAAATAACTTTTGTTTGATTGTTTTTATAAGTTTCAATTGTGAAATTACAATGAATAATAATTTAGTGATGTATTGATATTTTAATACTTGATTATTTGCTAAAATTTAACTATAATAAAATTATATAACAAATATTTATTAGCCCCACGGGGACACCCGCGAGAGAAGCGGGGCAGGGCGAGGATGGGGCGGGGGGAGCGGGGGATGGGGCCGGGGTGGGGGTGGGGGGAATTTGTAGGCAGCGAGACAGGGGACGGGGGAGGGGTCCCCCGCCCCAACCCCACCCTATTGCCATCCTTAATGAAAGCTGATACAATGATCTTTCAAATGGTATAAGAATCATGTTTTGATTCATTTTCTATTTATTCCAATAAATATGTAGATTGGGTAAAAAATTAAACTCTGCATATTTGAGAACCGTAGATGTCCTAAATTACATGCGAATTTAAGGTGGCTTGTTGTTAAAATCACCAAATGATGCATTTTAGAAAAAGCAGTACCATGAATTAGTTTAGGATGGTACAAATTTTATTGTATTTTGATGAATGTATGGTGTGTAACAAATTTTATTTTATTTTCATGAATGTATGTTGTGTATTATGTTTGATTTTGATTAAGTGTTTTAAAATAACTTCTATGGGGATTTTAAATCTTTTAAATACTAATATGTGATTCTCATTGTCATGTTATTTAAACCTTGTTGGAACACATTTGTATATAGTACAGGTATGCATAAGAGTTGGATGGATTTCCTAAGAAAAAGTGAAAAGTACGAGATAGGACTTAAAATGTTTCTAGAATTTGCATTTTCTAAATCAAGCTGTGATGGAATGATTTTGTGTCCTTGCGAAAAATTGTGGAATGGGTGTTTGTATGACTAAAATGCAAGCATATGATCATTTGAAGATGGTAGGATTTATCAAGGGTTATAATAATTGAATAGCACATGGAGAACTTTCAAACTACAATGTAGCCACATCTAATTCTAAAAATACTTCACTTGGGGTTCCAAATGAGACTAATGACATGCGAGACTTAGTGCATGATGTATTTGGGATACCACTTAGAACAAATGAAGTGAATGGAACAGGGCACATTCCTATTTTAGAGGCAAAAAAATTTTACAGATTAATTGATGACTCTTAAAAGGAATTGTACAATGGTTGCCAAACTTTCTCGAAGTTGGCCATTATTATTCGTTTGCTTCACCTAAAATGTCTTGGTAAGTTGAGGAACAAGATTTTTAATATGCTTCTTGATCTACTGAGATAAACATTTCCTGAGGTCATGAATAATTTGCCTTTTTCTTACTATGAGGTTGAGAAATTGATGAACGAATTAGGGCTGGGTTATGAAAAGATCGATGTTTGTCCTAATGATTGTACTCTTTATTGGGGGTAGTGCTGAAAAAAGAACTTCATGCGAAACATGTAAAGAGCTTGGGTAGGTTGTCTCAGAAAATGATCCAACTGGTGAAAAAAGAAAAATTCCTCATAAAGTGTTGAGGCATTTTCCCATAAAAGCTAGGTTGCAAAGACTCTTTATATCTTCTAAAATTGCATCTCATATGAGATAGCATGAAGAAAAACATACAAAAGATTGTTATATGAGACATCCAACTGATTCTCTAACTTGGCAGACTTTTGACCATCTACACCTAGAATTTGCCAAGGATTGTCGAAATGTTAGACTGGGATTGGCATCTGACGGGTTTAATCCATTCAAGAATATGAATACTTCATACAGTATTTGGCCTGCAGTTTTAATACCATATAACTTACCTCTATCGATGTTTATGAAGCAACCATACTTCATGCTGTCTTTGTTAATACCTAGACCATTCTTTCTTGAAAACAATATTGATGTTTATCTGTAGCCTCTGATTAAAGAATTGATAAAATTGTGGAATACTAGCATTCAAACTTATGATGCATCAAAAACAGATAGCTGTTGAGCAAAAAACTTATAGGGAGACATCCCTAGTCGCAGCACGTGCCACTGCACAGCTGTTGAGCAAAAGTGAACATTATCAAGAATGGAGGAAAGACTTCAACGACAAGATGAGGAAATTGCCAATTTGAAGAAACTAGTTTTAGTGCAACATGGAGGTTGCAGCACACCAAATAGCTCGAGATATCCTTTGTCATCATCTAACAATATTTCAAACCATAGCCCAGTGCGATCTCTTTAAGTATCTAGAACTACTAAACTTTTAGGTGGTGAATCTAAAATTAGGCTAACAAAGAGGAAAACATGAAAAATAAATGAAAATTACAGAAAGTTAATTTCAGTAGCTGAATTATTGAAAAAAATGGATGCCTCTTTTTCAGTCTTACAATATTTCTTTTAGAATTTTTCCTTTTTTACTCTTTAGTTTTTCAAGTAGACATGGTCAAAAATTGAGCATGACTTTGATTCTTCTATTTATTGACTCTTTTAATAGGTAGGGAATATGGTTTCACTCAAAAGTTTGTTTCATCAAACAAAAATTGTGACAAAGGGATATTTACATAGTATGAATCCGTTGGATGAAGTCAGGGGACAACTCTTAGACCAAATTGGTATGAGATAAATGTACAAATTGTTGTGAATCCAAATGAGCAATTGATTAGACCATACGATTTGCAACAAACAATTCAAGATGCACTTGGAGCACCAATTGCTTGACTTCATGATTTGTTACTATGTCTAAATAATACTCTTAGGTGTTTACTTTATGGTATTTTATTGCTATATGTCACTTCATTGTAACGAATTATCTGAACTTTATGTTGAGATCAAGTTAAATGAGATTTTTGTAGGCAATTTGTTGTGGTACATATGATTTGTTTGGGCTGATTATTAATGAATAATAGTCTATATTAATTTGTAGATTGTGGGAGGGGGGAGGGGGATGAATTTCCTATATTTGTAGTAATTTGGTATTTCATTCTTGAGGATTGCAAGTTTCACAGTTTCATTTCGACAAAGTGTTGCTTATTTGGTTCTGCTGGTTGCAATATCCTCAAGCTGCGCAACATCTATTGCTACAGTTCTGCCTATTGCTAAAACTATACTACTTTTTATTGGGTCTATTTCTTATACCAATTATCTTGGTGCACAGGTGGTAGCAACTAAAGATTGATAGTGATGTCTATCACTTTCTTGGCGATCAATAAAGCCCCTCATTTGGTTGGAAGCTTCGAAGCTTGTACAAGTTCTTTCAACTTTTGCAACCTGAAGAATCTTTTGTTTTAATTTTATGCTAGTGGCAGCATTGTTTGCTATTGTTATAGAACTTTGAACAACTTTTCTGATTAATTTGCTATGCTAGTATTGATTATGACTTTTATTCTAAGAAATGGTATTGGAGCAATTGGATTTGCTTTTAAAATACTAGATCATTTTATAATTTCATAATTTTTTCTTCATATATAGCTGATTGCAAATTGTATAACAGGGAGTACTAGTAGGTTGTTTCATCCTTTAAAAAAAATAAAATCTCTTGGCAGGTTAAAGTGTCGGCATAGTTGAATGTGCAAAGACCAGAGCTATGTCTATTGAGATATTAGGCTGTCATCTAAAGCCTTTTTTATGGCATATCTAAATGTCCTTAAAAGTTATATGACAAGGCATCTTAAAGTGCCTTCATAGAAAATTAAATTTCTAACGTTCTGGAGCCATCCTGACATTAGGGATGGGCAAGAAAAGCGCCTTTTTTTGGCAATTGCACTGCCTTATTAAATGAGTTTTTCTTATACTTTTAAATGCCATAGAACTATCTCCACATTAGAAGGGATGACACTTGCCCGAACCTGAGAAAAGGTAAAGTGTCAGTTTTATCTATACTGACAATTTCAAATGTCTTTAAAGGCCTTTTCCGTTGTTGTGTCTACAGAGCATTTGGTTTTGGTGCTGGACTTGGTTCTCCGGTTGTCAAGTTCCATTTTCAGAAAGTATAAATGTTTTCATTTTGGAAATTTGTAAGTTTATTCTCCAGCTTGTAAAACAAGTACTTGTAGTCTAGTTATTCCTGTGTAATGTTTTCATGTTTATTAGAAAATAGGGTGGACAGGAGAATATTAGCTGTACACTTTTCATTTCTCCCGAACTATTTTGGCTCACCTGGAGCTTTATGGTTCTCAAGGCTTCCGTGAATTGAAGGTTTTGAACTATTGCATTAATCATTTTAATCAAGTGACATCTTATCCCTTTTTCTTTTTTTGGAATAATGTTTTATGGTGACACACTGAACGTAATACAATTTCAAGAGTGGAGCTAAAGTTTGACTTAAGGAGTCATGATTATGACAAAAAGAGAATTTATTTTGCTCTCAAATTTGAATCTGATGATACAGCATTGATTTTGTCAGTTGTAATTTAGGATTTGATACTAATTGGAATCAAGCCACATCTTGGCGAGGCAACTGAGATGGCAGTTTGGGGTGTATTATCCCCAGCAGCAACCAAGTTTGCAGCCATGCGGTTGCTTTTCTTTTTTGCCCGACTTTTGTAGATAAATTTCATCCTTGCTTTTGATTGTCAAAATTCATTTTTTTCCTATTTTGTTAATTTCAGTGTAGCTAAATGTGTTCTTCTGAACTTTTAATACAAATTTAACCTCATTTTTAAATATGATTAGGACATGTAATGATCCTTTCGATATTACTATAATGATTAATTTTTTTTGTATTCTCTGGACATTTAATGCATTCGTTTTTCAGTTTTTTTTTTCTCTTCTTATTTTATGACTGATGACATGGCAAATTTATAGGAGATTATTAGGCATCAACACCAGTAAGCTTGAACCGTAAAATCCATAAATATTCAAATTACCAAGAAGCCATACATAATCCTAAAGTGGAAGAGAGCTTCTTGCTGATTTTCCTCGCAGTTTCGTATCATTTCTAAAGAACTCTTGCTTTGCACTTGGGAAAAAGTAACCCTCTCCTATACATCAGATTAGTTTTGGCCGCTTCATCATTGGATTATAGTTGATTTTGATCTAATTATGTTTATATCTTGACAAAAAAGTAAGTGTGATGATAATGAACCTGAAGGTTGAAAATTCTTTGGTGTACAAATCTGTAATTGATGACATGTAGCTCAACTTTGCCTTCGGTTCCTTTGCTTTCATGTAAAAAAAATAATATTCTAAGTAGGAGATGAATAAATGTAATTCCTAGAAACTGGAATCTTCATTGTAAATGTGTTATTCTTTTTAAATGGAATCTTTATAAATTTAAGGATATTTTGTAATTTCATTTAAGAAGTAAGATTCTACTTTGCTTCTTTATTCTTACTCTCATTGATTGAACATTTGCAGATGCAATTAGTATAGGATCTTTCGATTTTCATTGGAGAGATGCCACAGCTAGAAAGGAACAATTTACGCACTTAATTTTTTCCACATCTTGCCACTAAACGTATGAATAATTCCCAAGGCATGCTTTGTTTACCACTTGAAATGTCAATGATGCAAGCAATCCACAAAAGTTTTTTAGTTATACCACAAAATCATAGAACTTAATAAAATTTTTTACAAAAATCTTTAATATCAGATTTCTTTTCAGCTAAAACTTTAATCCTCTAGTCTAAAAAATGTTGTTTAAAAAATTTTTAAACATAAAAAGTAAAAAGAACAGCAAATAATGACAGTAGTTAGGTCAATATTTTAGTTAATTAAACTAAAAAATAATGTTCATATCTAATATTGTTAGAATCAACATTTCTTCAATTTTAATGGGTCGGCATGAGTTGTGCTAAGCATCTTATTACATACATCTACATGTGAACTATCTTTAATCACTTACAATTTAGATGCTCTGAATTATCTTTTCTACGCAATAGGATGGGCTTTAGCTGTAATATTGGATTTTAGATGAATAATTATTTAGTCTGATGAGAATTTTGAACCTTTTCAAATGTGTAATTTATTTTTAATTTATCATAAGGATTTGGATACAATTGTGCCCAAGTATAAAAATGAGAGTGCCCAAATTTATCATAAGGATTTGGATAGAGTATTATTTGAAATAATTACTATAGCATTTTTTGTGATGCGGTGTATGTGAGATAAAAAATAGTTAGGAATATAAAAAGATGGATTAAAACATGTGTTTATGATACAAGTGAAATATTATGTGAAATAATTCAACAATTCAAACACAGACAATAAATTCAACAGTGTGTTTGGATTGCGTTTCACATAATATTTCACTTGTGTGTTTGGATTACTGAATTATTTCATATAATATTTCACTTGCATTAGAAACATATTTTTCAATCCATCTTTTTTATGTTTTTAATTATTTTTTATCTCACATACATTATATAATAAAAATATTATAATAATTATTTTAAATAATATTTCAAATAACACTCTATTCAAACACCTAAATAATATTTCCAATGGCCTTGTTTGGCAGATAAATTTTTTGTCAAGTTTATCTACTACAAGTTTTTTAAAAACTTTAGCTACAATAACCTCAAAAAAGTTTCAAAATTTTTAAATTATACACTTCAAAATATTAAAAAAAATAATTTCAAAAAATTTTTTAAAAAACTTTTATAGTAAATTACAGTAAAATTTTAGACAAACACCCAAAAAACTCGCTTATCTAGCATGCCTTTTCCTGTGTGCTTTCCTTTTGAAATGTCTACGAGGACGAGGTGCGTTATTATTGTTGGGCCCCACATCAGCTCGTTCCGTCCCCATGCGGTGCATTATTACGGTAATAATGCAACTTTTTCTTATAGACAGCCTGGTGGAAAAGCTTGCAAGTCGCAACTGATATGTGTGATTCCATGACATCTGTTAGAAATCTTTTGGAGTTTCATCAGTGAGTTAGAGAGCGCGTAGAAACCAATACAAGCATGTCTTCCTTTCTTGGTCTTTAGAAACGAAGCTTGATGGTTTGTGCATTTTTGTTTTAGCTCTAACAAGCTATTTATATAATGATCGGAGTAACACACAACTAAATAATATTAATATAAATAAACATACAAATAATGGAAAAAAAATTAGAAATTCACATATATTGACACTTTAATCTAGGATCTCATGTAGCTGCATCTTTAATTCTAATCACTAAATCAAAATCTCATGACATAGTGGTCAAGATTAGTATGTAGCTTTGCAGTGAAGGACCAAAAGGATTAAAGTAATTTATCTTATTCCAAAATCAAATCCAAAGTTGGATGAAGTTTTATGACAACATGATATCTACTCAAAGAATATTTCGAGACAAAAACGTGAGAATACAGCAATAACAACTAATTAAGCAAAATGTACAGTAATGCACTGCAAAATTCAATGCATAAAAGCGAATTGACATGATCAAAACACTACTAATTCAATTAGGCAAATGGAGAATTGACATGGAAGTAATAAAGAGTGTGTTTGGTTTTGCACTTTATCTATATTTTATTTATCCATACTAATTTACTTGCATTATTAATACATTTTTTAATTATTTTCTTATTTTACATACATTACATCAAAAAAACGTTATAGTAATTTTTTAAAATCCATCAAGTTGCTTGAACATTAGTACTATTGCACGTTGCCTCTCCATCGTCTTGTTTGGTTTTAACGCTTAGAACAACTACTTTTTTTTTTATTTAACATGGCTTCCCTTTTGTTCAAAGTTATTGACATTGTTTGGATTGTAGTTTACCCAATAAAACTTTTTTCGTTTCCTAACTACACTTTTTATCATTTTTCTGCCTCACATACGTCATATCGGTACAGTATATTTTTCTATCAAAATTCCTAAAAATGACAATACAAATGAAACAACTTTTGATTGATTGAGATCAAATTACACACTTTTGAGGCCCTTAAACCCAAAAGCCGCACATGATTTATTAGGTCTTTCATCCTACAACATGGCTCTATATACCATACTATATAAGAGTTGATCTTTTGAGGCCCTTAAACCCAAAAGCTTCACAACGAATTTTCATACATATGTATATTTGTCTTCGGATGATGGTCCCTCGAAAAAAATTCCAGCTTTGTGATCAACAGACAAAATATTACATGCACGATAAGTTTAGTATGTGCATTAAATTTCTTGCAAATGATTGTTTGTATGGTGAGACCGGACTAGGCCCCACCTTTAGTTGTGTCAAAAGTCTATATGAACTTACATCTAATCATAAGCAGATAAATGAAGGCGACACATTTAGTCCTAGTCCTTGCTTGAGGTTACATCGAAAATGACGAGAGTGGAAAGACCAAAAACTATTCAACTGTACTCAAAATTTTTCAACCACTTGGAATTCCATGGTATGGTCGAATTACTAGTATCTTGTGAATTCTGATCAATTTTTGGTACCAATTGGAAACTCTTGACTCGATCCCCCAATCCCTGAACCAACCTGTCGAATTTCTGGTTTGGCTGAAGCAAAGGATGCCTCAATTTTCTTCCCTCTTGTTTCTCTGGTATCCCGAGGGGTATCATATTTGCTTTTGGATGATGGCTTCTTTGGAAAACAGTAGGATCGTCGAACCACGCAACTCTTCACTGCATATCTTCAAATCTTGTGTATCAAAGCTTCAGAGTACTTCTCACGGTAACTGGGCTTCTTAAGGCCTTGTGTTGGATTGTATTTTTTTGAATTTTTTATAAAAAATCACTGTAATCATTTGATGTATGTGAAAAAAAAAATAATAAGAAAATGTGATTACGAAAAATGACGCAATTTTTCGATAGAAAATGACTGTCCGAAAAACTCCAAAAACTCCAAAAAATGCTAACTCACTGATTCATCGCTCTACAGGTGCATAGTTATGTTTTGATCAATATATTCCTATCGTTTCAAAAAAAAAAAACTGATTCATCGCTATAAAACTCCAAAAAAACTTTTTCAGATGTCCAAAAAACTTTTTCACTGTCCAAAAAACTCCAAAAATGCTCACTCACTGATTCATCGCTATGAAACTCCAAAAAACATTTTCAGATGTCATGGAATCACAAATATCAGTTGCAACTTTTTCCATCAGGCCGTCCAAAAAGAAAAGTTGCGGGGAAGGAAAAGTTGCATTATTACCGTAATAATGCACCGCGTGGGGACGGAACGAGCTGGGCTAACAATAATAATGCACCGCGTGGAAATTTCAAAAGGCTTTTGTACATGGAGAAATTCAATAGCATACATACAAGGAGTAAAATTTTTCACACTTCGGAGACAAGATATGACATTTGTCAATATTTGAGTCAACCAGTCAAGATAAATCGCTCCCTTTGCTGTGTAAGAGTAAAACCATCTCATCTTTTGCTAGTGAATTCCATCCATTGCAGAGTAAAACCATAATCTCATCCCAAATGGCAGAGAGCCTATCCTCAACCCTATCCTCTGCAGTAAAATTTCAAAAGGCTTTTGTACATGGAGAAATTCAATAGCATACAAGGACTAAAATTTTTCACACTTCGGAGACAAGGTATGACATTTGTCAATATTTGAGTCAACCAGTCAAGATAAATCGCCCCCTTTGCTATGTAAGAGTAAAACCATCTCATCTTTTGCTAGTGAATTCCATCCATTGCAGAGTAAAACCATAATCTCATCCCAAATGGCAGAGAGCCTATCCTCAACCCTATCCTCTGCAGTGCAGATTATAGGTAAACTGGTTATTGAAGAAGTAAAGTTTCTACAAGGCGTTAGCGAGAGAGTCAGACTCCTTCATGACGATCTCAAAGGGATACAAAGGTTCTTAAGATATGCAGATACGAAACAGACTGCAAGGGACAGTATACAACAGTGGGTTCCGGAGTTTAGAGCTGTCGCTTATGAAGCAATTGATTTGGTTGAAGATTATGTTTTGAGGGTTTCAATTTCAAGCAACGGAGGCTGTTGTACTCTAAAGAGGATTGCTTGCATGGCCACGGAAGGTTATGCCCGTCACAATTTGGGTGTGGAGATTCAAAGTCTCAGAAATAGGATCTCTAATCTCACCAAAAATTTTGGCGAGTATGGGCATGTAATGACCAGAACGGAGGAAGGAGAGTCGAGTGCTCCATCCAGACTGCAACAATTAAGGCGGACTCGCTCCTCTGTGGCCGACAAGGATGTGGTTGAACTGCCTGATGATGTTCAGGTGCTGGTTAAATATTTGCTGAATGAGGTGGCAGAGCACAAAATAAGCGTGGCTTCGATTTTCGGCATGGGTGGTATAGGCAAAACAACTCTTGCTAGAAAGGTGTATCACCATGGAAGATTGAAGGATTATTTTGAAGGTTTTGCTTGGGTTTGTGTGTCACAACAATGGCAACCAAACGATCTCTTGCAAGGCATTCTACTCAAGCTTACACCTGAACAGAGCAATCAGATAATGACGAGCAAACAAGATGGGCTAGAAAGGCTGCTTCAACATCACTTGCAAGATAATAAATGTTTGATAGTCCTCGACGACCTTTGGTCAACGGAAGCTTGGGATTGTCTAAAAGACGTAATCCCAGTTTCGGAGGATGGATCCAAAATTTTGCTCACAACTCGTAATGAAGACGTCGCAGCATATGTTGGTCCAAATGGTTATCACCACAAACTGCGTTGTTTGACCGAGGAAGAAAGTTGGGAGTTGCTACGAAAGAAATCATTGTGGGAGAGTAATGGTGCAGGTAAACATTTTCTCCTTTATTCACGTTAAATTCATTTCACGTACAAGGATATGTGTATCTGTGTGTGTGTGAGAGAGACTGATAGTCCTACAATTTCATCTGCATGACGAAAAATTTTAAGTACATTTTTGACTTGCTAACCAAGACATATAACATGTTTCGTATATATCGGTGCCAATTTTTATTATAGCCTTTCTGAAATTTTTAACAATTGAAATACTACAATGGAAACATAATTCCTTTTGTATTGTCACCATTTACTTAAACAACTTGATCTTTTTTTCAGATTCATATAGACCAATAGAGTAAACAAAAAAAACTAAAAATGCGTCTTAAGATAGCCTTTTACCAAGACTATTGATAGGTCTCAAATCTTTGGATTGGGAAACTTATCGGTTAACAGACTATCAAGTTTTTCGTATAGTTGTTGAATGATACATGATGCTTATGAATGATAGATGCGTGGTAGTTGATATTAACTCAGTTTGTGTAATGCTACACAGGTTGTGAAGATTTGGGCAAGATGGAAGAGTTAGGAAAGAAAATGTTGAATAACTGTAGAGGTCTTCCACTGGCTTTGGTGGTTTTGGGTGGAATTCTTAGAACTAAAAAAACCCTCAAGGAATGGAAGGAAGTGCATGAGAATATCAAATCCTATCTGGCTAGGGGAGAAAAAATTGGAAAAGAAGGAGAGGTGCCAAAGATTTTAGCTTACAGTTATTATGACCTCCCTTGGCAACTAAAACCATGCTTCCTTTACTTGGGTAAATTCAGGGAAGATTCCGACATTAGAGCGGAGAGTTTATATCAAATGTGGATGGGAGAAGGTATGATATTTGAGAATGATAGAAGGGAGCAAGAAACGATGATGGATGTTGCAGAGCGTTACTTGAAAGAATTAGCAATAAGATGCATGGTTGAAATTAAAGCATATGAGGAGGGGAAGCATGCAGTAACAAAGTTGGAGTCATGTCGTCTTCATGATCTTATGAGAGATCTATGCTTAGACAAGGCAAAAGAGGAGAATTTGTATAAGCTGGTTGATCGAAGTCCTTCACAAGATTCTCCTCCTACAACTGAAGCACAGTTTGGTTTAGTCCTTCGTTTGCTTCCAGAGGATATCTCTCAATACAAGTTTCCGCCAAAAGAACAAACTAAGCATCTTTGCTCATTCCTGTGTGATCCGTTGGCAGGCAAAGGGCAATTACCTATTCCAGGGGTGAGAATAATGTCCCAAGTCAAGAATTTGAAGATGCTCAGGGTTTTGGCAATGTTATCCTTCAACATGGCCTCCCAAAGTTGTTATCTCAAATCACCTCTGGGATATGTCAGCAAGCTTATCCATTTGAGATGTTTGAGATTGAGAGGTCAGAGTATAAACTTGCCATATTCCTTGGGCAATTTAAAGTACTTGGAAACTCTCGATTTATCTGGTAGTGATAATTCTTGTAGAATACCAAACGTCCTATGGAAATTGGAACGTTTTAGATATCTTTATCTTCCGAACTGGTGGTTGGGCCCTCAGCATAAGTGGGGCCCTCAGCCTAAGCTGCAGTTGAGCAAGCAGCTGGAGATACTTGAATCATTCGATAACAGATTTTGCTATCCTAAAGATGTATGCAAATTATCGAATCTCAGATCTTTCAAAGCAAATGTGTATAAAAATCTCGAGGACCTGGAACGCATCATCAATCATATATCAAACTTGGACTGCTTGCGCATCAGCTCACTTATAATCAGAAGTTGTAATTTTGGCAAAACCAACTCCAACAATTCGAATGACAGCAACGGGAGTTTGGATGTTCTTTCAAGGGTGTTGTTTAGTAGGAATATTCATGAATTAGAGATCAGGAATAGTTTATGCAAGAAGTTGCCAGATTACCAATCCCAAACGGTTCCTCACCCTGCAGGACTTACTCAATTAAGCCTGAGTTATAGCGGAATTGAGGAAGACCCAATGGCAACACTTGAGAAGCTTCCTAAGCTAAGAATACTGGAACTTGGGCCAAAATCTTTTCTGGGCCAAGAAATGAGCTGCCACTCGATGGGATTTCCCCAACTAAAAGATCTCGTGCTTTTTGGTTTGGGAAACTTAATGCAGTGGAAAGTGGATGAGGGGGCCATGCCTAAGCTCTCAGGTTTACGGATTGAGGTCTGTACAACGTTGGAAATGATTCCAGATGGGCTGAGATGTTTGACCACGCTAGAAGAGGTCTCTCTAGCGGGCATGCCTGAGGAATTCAACAATAGAGTTAGGATCGAGAATGGTCAACAAGGAGAAGATTATGATAAAATAAGTCACGTGCCTTCAGTTAAAATCTACAGGTACTCTTTTTCTCCTTTTACATTTTTCTCTTTTTAATATTCAATTTACGGTTCTTGGAATTCCCTTTTTCTTAGCATCTAGTTCCAATCTCAATTTTGATAAGTTTCACCAACATCATTCAATATTTTCTTTTGTCTTTTTAATGACTATTGTGTATTTTTTAATTTTTTTTCCTCTTCGGAAGAAAAGGGATTATAGTACTTGTTCGGTGAGATTCTTTTTAGTTTTATCTTGCAAATATTTATTTTTGTTTATTTGAAACATCATCTAATCTTGTTCTGTGGCTGATTAAGGAATTTGGTGATGAGGAAGTAAGTTTATTTGAAAGCATTGCCTTCCATGTGAAATCAAAATATTTTCCTTATTTCCTCATCTTTGGAAATGGGTTGACATATTCTCTCATAAATTAAATTAAATAGATCAGTATGTGTTACCGTCATATAATGTACTCGTAAAAAAAAAAACGTTGCATGGCTTAAAAAATGCCTAATAACTATTTAAACTATTTGTGCTTCCCATTAATTGTTTTAGATTAGCATCTTTATTTAATCAAATATCTTGGATTAAACTTAAAATCTGTTTAGGATTTGGTGATCAAGAATCGTCATGTTGCCTTCAAGTCTTATTGATATCAAAACCAACAATCAGAGCTTGGTGGAAAATTTTGGGAGGACAAAATGTTGGTGGAAAAATTTTTTTTGAGGTTTTTTTGGTTTGGGTTTAGTAACTTTTCTTTTTTTTTTCCAGCAACGATATCAATTTTTTTCTTAAAGATGAATGAATTTACTATAGATATTTATAGAAAAATTTTAAGATCATTATTTTTTATTACTAATTGAATAAATTTTACGATCATATATATATATATATATATAAAGGATTGTTAAATATAAGATGCCAAAGAATTACAATTGAATATAATGAAATATATAAGTTAAGTAGGAAAAGATGCAAGACAATTTTTTTTATTGGTTATAAATTTATAAGTTTAGTTGGCAGACTTTACATTTGTTTGATTTGCTTGTCCTGTTTATATTTGTTTATCATCTTGTTTCCTTTTTATTTTTAAATTACAAACCATGCAATCCATATATTTGCTGTGGAGTCAGATTTGTTTTGCTGTTTAGCTTCTCTTGCCTTAAATATTATCTGATATATATCAAATTTAATTACAACATCTAATTTTGTCATAAATAAATTAAATTTAATGACAATAGAGCTTATTATCGCAACAACATCTAATTTTGTCATAAATAAATTAACATTTTTGTTACAAGAAAAATCACTAAAATATTGTCATAACACTCTTTTGTTGTCATTCCCCTGTTTTATGAAAAAATAGATCCACGGCAAATGGTGAAGAAATTTTGTGGCTAATTTATCTGTAGTCCTTCTGTTTAACCTTTTGCCCGTCTTTCTCGCAGTTTTCACTTCCGTATCAGCTTTTTGAAGAAAATTTGTAAGATTTAATTTTAGATTGAGCTCAATTTTGTGGTTGTTTCCCTTCATTTTCGTGTCGTTGTGCAGAAGGGTTAAAGGAGTAATAGGTTATCAAGTAGAAACTGTTTGTCCAAGCAATCCTGTTTAACGAAGCCCTGGGTCTTGTCTTAAGAAAATTCTACACTGAATCTGCTGGCTTTCCCTGATCTCATCCGATTCAAATGTGAGGTAATTAAACTTACTTAATCTCTTTTCTTTTTTCCTGCAATTTTTAATGCATAGAGGGATATTATTTGAAAAACTTGGAGTAATTGATTTGTAACATGGATGCTTACAGTGTTTTCACATTTTTTTTTCTAAATTTAATGTGAATTGAAGTGGAATTATAGAGTTCTGGTTTCAAAATTCAATCTGTGATGTCATTTGACTCACAAATATGTGATTTTGGTCCACTCTTCTGAAATTAAAGTTCGTTCATTTTTGTGGTTTCTTAAGAAAACAATACTTGCCTAAAGTCTTGCACCATCTTTCATTTGCATGTTGCAGCTACTGTGTCGTAAGTTTCTTTGCACATAGCAGCTGTTATGGGACTCCAAATGATCTGAAACACGGGCCAACAAGATTGCAAGTTGGTTAGATCTTCTTGTGTAGCTAGCATTTGTATGTATTGCGAGCATCTTTACTTAGCTATTAGGGAAAGATACCAATCTGTTATATGATCCTTCACTTTTAGTGTTTGACCCAACAAGGAGATAATGTGTGACTATTTTCAGCTTTTGGTTTGGTTAGTCTCACTTTGTTTAGCTGCTCAAACTTTTCTTGTGCTCAAAGCTGTTGGCATAGATTCACCAATGCAGTTGGAGGAGGGCATCTATGTTCTTGTGTTCTTAAGAAGAGAGGGTTAAATTAATAAGGAAACTTTCCCAATTCCCTTAACTTTTTTTATTAACCTTAAATAACATGATCATCTAAATAAGTACAATACCAAACTAAGAAACATCCAAACGGAAAACTAATTGTGTTCGAACATTGAATTTCCATGATTTAGACACCGCCACGTTGTTCTCTAGTATTTTAAGAAACATTACCATAACCAATCTAAACTTTTCCTAATAAGATCCATCATTCTCCCAAAAAAGAGCAATTCGACCACAACCCAATGCAAGTTTCTTGATTGCATCCCTTTTTCTGCAATTCACAGCTTTTACTCGTATTGAATTTGAAATCTACCAATACCTTTCTATAAAGGACAATAAACAACTGCATGCATGTAGACAAATCAAATCAAATCAGTTTTTTTTTCGTGCTTCTTTCCTGTATCAACAAATGACTTTCGTTCCTTGTTTTTCATTTTACTTAAATTTTGTTTATTTCTTCAAACTTCCTATGCAGTTAGAATTTTTCTTTGAACTTAAATCTTTTCTCTCTTTTTTTCATTTAAATCTTTCTAGCACCTTTTTTTTTAATTTAAAGCCTCTCTCGGCTACATATCAATAACACTTTCTACATCCGCCACCATCCTCCCCTTTCGTCCTCCTCTATTGGTATAATTGATAATGTTTTGGAAAAATACCCTAAGGCGCGGTTAGATGGATTGGCAAGCTGTTGGAGATACTTGACTCATTCAATAACACGTCTTACAATCCTAGAGACTTATCCAAATTGATGAATCTCAGGTCTTTCAGAGGAACAGTATATGACAATCTTGAGGATCTCAAACAAATCGATAACTATAAATATGACGTGACTATATGTTCAAATTAAAACTTTCAATTAGCCCTAATTGCAAGTATATAGGTCATTAAATCAGTATAGTGTAAATTATGGTCGATCCACAAGTAACAGTAACAATTACTAAGGCTTATCACTTAGTCTATTGCCTAAACAATCTCAAATTAAAGTAAAGGGCAACTACAACATTGAACCAGTAAAAGCCACAATTAATGATATGACAAGTGAGAAACAATAAGAAGATAGTTCCAGATTTTTTACTCACTTAAATGCTCATAAATAGGATGTGATTTGGTTGATTGAAATTATTACTCTTGTCTTGCGAAGGATATAATTTCCTAAGACATTTGAATATTGCTTTCGCTAATGACAAATATATATATATACCTAGTCTTCACTTACTTTCGTGATTGAACAGTTAAGCATAAGCTTATGAAGATAACGAAATTACACAAGTTAAATCCACCTAAATGCATTTCTACTTTCATGAATCTAAGATTCAGAGCTCAAGAATTTTGATCTATTATTGTTAGCCAACTCTAACTAGACAAACAATAGGATAGATAGTTTGTAATTGGTGATCAAATAACGACAAACATAAAAAACATGGAATACATGAACTAACAAGTACATGATAGAGCAACAAGCAATCACAATCAATCCATGGTCAAAAATCAAACGAGTTCATCTCAATCATAGAACAAAACAAACTTAGGTACTTAAAATAGATTAGGATGAAAGCACATGTTTTTCTTGAAACAAATCATGATAAAAACAAGTAAAAGTATGAGTTCAGTTTGAAAAAAATGTTTATTCCAATAGTAGAAATAAAGCTCCTCAAACTCCTCTTGCAATCTTGTCTTCAAATGCAAAAGTTACAAGAATACCTCACCACTAAGCAACTACAAAAGTTGCAGCGGACACCTTAAGAGTTAATGTTGAAGAAATATTTATTCCAATAGTAGAAATAAAGCTCGTCAAGCTTCTCTTGCAATTTTGTCTTCAGATGCAAAAGTTGCAAGAATATCTCCCCACTAAGCAACTACAAAAGTTATGGTGAAAACCTTAAATTCTCTAGATGTTTTTGTAGGTAAAAACTAGCTACTTTTGTGTCATCAAAGTGTGCCTCCAAAAGCTTAGCACCACTCCCATAAGTTACTATTTATAGGGTGGTAAAAAGATAGAAAAAAAATTGACACAAAACCCTAATTGCTCCAAACAGCCATATAGATCCGTTGCAGGATCCATCTTCGAATCTGGTCCAAACAGGGTTGGATCCAGTGTTCTGTTTTTCAAGTTTGATTCTGTCTTCAATTTGGTGCTGGATCGATGCCTGCTTATCTAGGATCCAGTGTTGGATTTGCTTCTCCAATTTTGCTCTACTACGATCCACAATTGGGATTCGCAACTAGCTTCAACAGATTCACGGTTGGATCATCGTGGGGGCACTTCTTCGTATCTTTCTACCTTGGATCCTCTGCTTGGATCATCTTCTGTCAAGTGAGGATCCAAGGCCAGATCCAAGGGTTTTCCAGTTTCATTGTTTTTTCCTTTTCATTTGTCACGCAAGCTTACTCGTACTTACTTGTGACTTCTCGAGCACACTAAATCATCCTTGAACCATCCAATAAATATGAAATTCACTCCAAACCACTGCTCGATCATTAATCCTTACAAAAACACAGCTTTTGTGAGTAAAATGAAATAATCAAGTTTTTCATTCAATCCCCAATAGACACAAAATCTCATCAAAACTAGCATTAATACTCTTATAGGAATCAAAAGTACTTCAAACACACTAAAACCTGGCACACACAAATGATATAAAGACAAACACTTATCAATTTCAAACGCATCGCCTCGCCCGAAATTTGGAAGTACAATTTTTGATCGACTCCAACGGCTTGAATAACACAACAAGGGTTTGGCTGTTGTTGAAGGGGTGTTGTATGGTTGGAATATTATGGTACTTCAAGTAAGCGTTTACAGGATTACCAGCCCCACATGTCCACTAGCCGTGTATTGGAGCTGTTCCACACCATTATTGTGGCGGACCAACAGAAACACTGGAAAAGCTTCCCAACTTGCAAAACTCTTTTTTAGACCAAGAAATGATTTGGCACTCAACGGGATTTCATTAGCTGAAACATCATGTTTGCCTAAGTTAAAGAAGCGGAAGGCGGATGAAGGGGCCATACCTAAGCTTTTAAGTTTGCATCTTCAAAATTGTAAAATTTTGGAAATGATTTCAGATGGATTGAGATTGACAACTACCCTAAATCAACTATAACTTGTGAATTTGCCTCAAGTCACAATTAGACTTCCAATAACGAATGATGAACAATATCCAGATTATGATAAAATTAGTCACGTACCTTCACTCGAAATCAACAGGTACTCTATTTCTATTTTTACTTTTTCCTGCTTAAACTTTTTGTTTACCGTTCTTACAACTCCCTTTTTTCCAGCTTCCAATCTCAAGTTCAATAATACATTAATACTTCACCAACAAGATTAAATTCTCTCTCTCTCTCTCTTTTTCTTTTTGGGTATTGTGCTTTTTAATTTCTATTTTTTCCTTTCTGAATGCAACCGGATTATACATATTGCTTTGTGGAGTCTACTTTAGTTTTAGCTTCGGATTGTTTATTTATTTATTTATTCATTCTTCCTTAGACATCTTTGAACGCAATTCTTGTTTCATGACTAATTAAGGAATTTGGTGGAGAATAGCAAGTTCATTACTTTTGAGTAGCTTCCATCTTCTGCCATAAAATCAAAGATTCTGCTTGTTTTTCCATTTTCGGGCATGGCTAGACATGGTCCTTCTTAAATACAACAATTCAATGGCTTTATATGCGTTAACGTTGATTGTACTAATGACCAATGTTATCGGGAGCAAACAATACATATCAATTGATTGTACCAATGAACAAGTGTTTCCCATGTAATTATAATTATTTTACATTACCATTCCTATGAATCGAGGAATTGATGCCAATATGTTGGTCTAAGCTCCAATATTTAGGAAAATTATGTGATTAGGAAGAATCATGTTGCCTTTAGGACTCACTCATAGTAAAGTGATAGGGTGTTAATTGTTGGTTATTTTATTGTTAATTTCCTCCTTTATCCTTGCCAAATATTGTTTTAATTATTAATATTTACTTATATTTGGTATTGGACTCAATTTCAGGGAATGGAGCAGAAAACTACAAAAATGAGGGACTTTTTGGAGATAATTGAGATTTCAAACAACCGGTCTCACATGGTGCTACAAAGAGATTGCATTTCCTTTGCTGATTAGGAGATTGGAGTTCTACAAGTAATAGGAAACAAAACAAGAAGGAAAGCCTCGGTTGGTGCGGGAAGCTTTGGGAGGACTTTTGCTCTCAATTGTGCGGGGACCACGGAGAAAAGAAAGGCATTAGTCTATTATTTAGGAAGAAACGTAAAGAGGCTAGGAAGTCCTACTATCAATAGGAAACAAGAAGGAATTCGGAGGGTCCCATCTTTTGGATTCTTTTCTCTTCTTATTAGGTTAGAAGACTAGTCACGGGGGATATATGGACGGAGAGGCTGAATAGCCGGAGGACTGAGTTTTTTACTTTCGACAGTATCATGTTGGGAATTTCCTCAACAATGAAGAACTGAATTCTTATTTTCTAGTCAAGGGGACAATTCACGATTTGGTTCGACAATTACTGTGAGATCGAATCTGTTTTAATTATTTTCTTCATTTATTGGTATTTATATGTTCCTTGATTTTAATTGCTATGGCCTTGTGTATGATTGATTAGTGCACAATAATTAATTATTCATATAGGCTATTTTTGCTAAATAGGGGTAATTGAATCCGTAATTGTTCGTTATCTCTACCTCAGTAGCAACTGGCGTAATTAGATTTATGTCAGGGGAGCATATGATCTAGCTTAAACAAACCCTCGTAGCATGTTTATTGGTTAGGATTGGGCCTTTCTAATTATTAATGCAATCTAGAAATTAAATCCTACGGTCGTATCTAGGGTTATTTTTGGGTTAGAGAA